TGGCGACAGTCGGCCGGAACTAATCTACGACAAGAACAAGATGGGACTCAAACTAGGGGCACTACACTACTGCCCTGTTAAATGTAACTTTAAGCTTTTAAGTGATGTATTCTTTCGAGATTAGGGCACCAGCACTACAAGCCTATGCATTCTTTCCTCATTGATTTTTATAGATAATTTCGGATAGTAAAATTGAAACGTAAATTATGATGGCCTTGTATCTGGCAAATTGAAAATACTCGATCATTGCTTAGACGTATCGCGTCATAACACGTGCTTATTTCACATTCTCTTTGTGGGGACGTAACTAGCATGTTCACGATTTATGTGATATTCGTAAACATATACCCGAGGAATGTCATATGCTATAAAAGTACACTGAGTTGAAACGCAAACATATACGCTGCAATTAATTATTCAACATTTTGTTTAAGCCATTCAATTATTTTGTAACTTGGAAGTTGTCTCAACATGAAAGTTCGGTAATTTCAAAGGTGTTTTAATTGATTGTATTTATATGATATGGCATCACAAATTTTAGGGTAAAACCAGTTAAAAACAAGTGACGTTGGACAAACTCCGCTTATTCTACGGCCAGCCTGCGAGCTGATACAGTTACATGTTTCGAAACGCTGTCTACTCCGTATCGATTTACATGCGGGCGACATAGGTGGGTGTAGCAACGGCCTGTAAGCCAATATTGTCCGAATAACTACGCGATTAATTAAGAAACACTTACTAAAATACACACATACAAACGAATGTAGAACAAATATATATAACTACTAGCGGACCCAACAGACGTCCTGTACACGCGACTTAAATCTGACAACAAATTATAAATAAAAAAAACGAATTGTGAACCTAAACCATTCTTGAATCAACCTGAAGGCAAAAAATTTCATCAAAATCGATCCAGCCGTTTAGGAGTTCACTGACATACACACGTACAGAAGAATTATATATATAAAAATATATAACCAGTATATTTACAATGAAAGTCATACGGAGCAATTCTATATTTATGAACGAATAATGACTTTTTGATGCGAGTCCCAAACGAAAGAGATCCACGCCTGCCAGAGAAAAATACAATAAAACAAATCACAAAATTATTTTCATTACTTTAATACACAAATACAGTTAAGTTGCAATGAATTCAGCAAACGCCGATATGATTGTTATAATTTATTGCATTGCAGCCGAATTATCAATAGTTGGCAAGCAAAACAATAGAATGAGCATCGACGCCGCTAAATAACGTATGGGCTTATCTGGTTTCTTCGAGAGGTTCGAGAGCTCTACTCAAGTAAACCCGTTCATAGATGATCGTAAAATTCTTATCTCAAACCAAAGATGGCCATATAGAAGAGAAGGCTCGTCTCGAACTGATTATTTTTAGCACATACATTTTTCGTGTTGTGTGCAATAAAGAAGATACATTCTCATTTTCTCCTCTAATTGCTACTGTAAAAGTTTCTCTTGTTAAAAATACAGTACGCACAGATAAGGGTGCGTTTAGACAACCGTGAGAAACACGGGACAATTTTGTAAACAATTTACGATATGTATTCAACTTCATCCGTGTGGATCGAACCCACCACCCGACGAAACAGTCGCTAAACGACTACGCCAACATACTAGTCGACATTAATAAAAAATGCGATAATTTCTTCTAGAATACACAAAGCGTGAAAAAGCGGAACATCAAAGATATCCAATTCGAAATTGATGAGCAAAAAGCAGAACGTCATCATCTAAACATTTAACTGTAAAATGTAGCGTTATCTCTATAAAAGACGACGATTAGGTGCCTATTGTTTATACTGTCGGTCAACGAACTATGCGATGTGAGAAAAAGCTTTATTCACTAACTTATAGTTACTGTTATTAAATAAAAGGCTATTAATTGTATATTGTTCCTGGTATACGGCGACCTCACACTTTACGTTTAGAGTCACCAGCAACCTGTCTACCCCATTCAGGTCATTAGGTGACAGCTTATTTTCTGTTATAAGCCGAGTAGAAATAATACTTTGTAGAATTCAAACCTTTTTATTTTTCAACATTTATAATCATCAAATACATAGATGGCTATTTCATGTGTGAAGTATGTACTCAAATTGAATGACCATTTTAGATATCAGCTAAGCGTAAGATAAATAAAACAGGTCCAAGTAACACTCCATCAGAGTAGTCCCAAAGTTCACCAGTATCTATAGTTTTGCTTATACTACAATAAATTACACACCATATAAAAGAATAAATTTTCTAAATTTATGTATTTCTCTTTCAAATGAAAAATTGGATAGCTTCCGAGAGCAAAGCCTGTTGGCAATTCTTCATAAGATGATATACGTTTATAAGTTTAGTATATATTATGGATATATATAAGTTTGTTAATATTTCAATAGACAAATTACTGTTGTAAATAAACAAATATAAATCTAATAATGAAATGTCTGTCAAAATATATGTATAGACCCAAAAATAAATGTATTATGATGAATATGAAGTGCTTTTGAAATATTTTACCAGTTCTTTTCTGGCATGATTTCTCTCAAATTGTTACAGTCAAGCACAAGATGTATGTTCACTTCATACCTACTATGACAGACTGGTTGTCACTATCTGTGGATTGAAAGTGCTCTCTTTATTACTATACTAGTGATTTTAAAATATAAATAAAATATTTTGTTTTACTAGAGTGTGAAAAATATTTTTACCCCATATGCAGTTTCTTACTTTTTCTCAGGCTAAACATAAAATTCCAGACGAAATAAAAAAAAATAAAAAATGAATGGAATAAAATAGCTCATGAAAGGATGAAGTGTAACCACTACTCAACAAATCTCAAGTACAGACCCAAATATAGCCACCCGAAAATATAACGAATATAATTGGAATAGCCATAGCCAATATTACTTTTAATTACATCAAGCACCGCTGTGTAGCAACATTGCTACGAGAGAATTTTATAATGGTCCGTTGACTTGCTAATATGGAATAGTAGCAACAGTTATTATGTAAAATAGGTACTGGGTTATACAACTTGTATGAATAAATGCCAATTAGATTTTGCAAATTTGGACAGTTGAGTGGGCTATAGAATGCTCCATATTATGAATTTGATTTCAAAATCATTTAAGTAAAATGAGTATGGTATTAAAAAGGATATTTATCATATTTTTCTTCCACATTTGTTTTATGGAAAATGTATTTAAATATAAAGTATCTGTCTAATGTAAAGTTTTCATCATCGCCTGACAATAAATGTAATAAAAACATATAGAAGCAAATTTTCAAACATGTATTGTTCAGTGTTCTATAAAGAATGTTTTAATCTATTTAAACTACAAAAATAAGTCTTACATCTTACCATCTGTTGAGATAGTAGTCAAGCACTAGCCTGTCTTTGAGTTAAAAAAATGCAGCATATATTCTTTGCTTAGATATACATACATTTTATTTATATTTTTAGTAGAGATTATTCCAGGGTGTACAAAAGCAGCACTATGAAAACATTTACTTTAATTTTATTATGTGAAATTTAGATCTACTCTTATTTATAGAATCATTCGGATATACAGAGTAAACTTGAAATCGTAAATACCGTCGGCAATGAATAAAAAACAATAACAAAAACACTGTTAAATGAAAACCGGCGATTATTTGCGGTTAACAATAACTGTAAATTAGAGAATGTATCGTGTACTGTCAGGACAAGCCGATCATGCAGAAACGTTAACGGGTGGCCTTTGTCAGTACAGGGTAAAACCCAGTAAAATCTTTAGACAATTTATTTAGACAATCTTTAAAATCTTTAGACAATCTTTAGACAACTTTATCAATATTTAAAAGAATCCCATACGCCCATACACTTCATAAGCAAAGAATCCAGAGCGCAATGACCTGAGAATCTTGAAAAGTAACGGCTCACAGTCACAATGAGTGGCACCAGCCGGCAAAATTTTTTTTTATCAGAGCTTATAAATAGTTTTAGTTACTAATTACTAAAAATTTTCTAGATTCTTAAAGAATGACATTGTGATTAACATTTTTAAATAATAAAGATCACATTTATATATTGATATATAATAAAATGTTACTCACCACTAATCCGTTGGCTTCTTTTCGATAGAATGAAATTGAATGAGTAAAAGAGACGGACGACAGCCCTGCTTGTGTTACAATGTATGTGAATATAAAATCTACCAAAGGTACTTAATTAAAGTTACACGTGATATAAATACATTAGAATATTAAAAGATAATAAGAATTTCTATATCTAATTGATTAACAGTCTCCAATCATTTTTTTTTATAAGATAGTGAAGTTTTCACTATCATAAAATTTATTATGAATATTTATACATTTATAATATAAGTATCATTTTCATATACATGTTAACATGTATATGAAAATGATGAATGAATGAGATAGATTTTGTACTAAAAAATTATGGGCATTAAAATACCAATTTATTGAAAAATATGGGTGTATGTAACACTAAAAATATATCTGCTAAAAACTAGTTATAACTAGTTTTTTCGTTTAAAAACAACAATGAAAATCAGCTATGGTATAAAACTAAAAATGTTTTAAAGGTAAGCAGTATGGTTGAAATTAATAATTAACTAGACGAAGATCGGTGTGAATTTTTAACTACAATAAAATTATGGCTATTCCCTATCTTATTAAAATTATAACTCTTTATTTTATTTTTTACTCTTTTTAATATTTTACTTAAGTTTTAATGTACATGAAACAAAAATTACGTAATAAAATACGAAAATCGATATCAAAAGGTTCATGGAATGGTAATTCTATTCTATTTATATTTTTTGCTATAGTATCATCTACTATCTATCATTCATTTGCTTGTCTGTGTCAGTGGCTTTTTCGTTTTGTATAAATCTGCTGAAATTCAAATCTTAGTAAAATGGAATCTGCAGCCGAAGAAACCCCTAAAGATAATATAACAAAACCAATAATTGATAATGACATACGAGTAGGTGTAAGTTGTTTGTTAATTTACCCAGATTTTATAAATAGACTGTATCATATGTCCCCAAAATTTATAAAATCTATCCATTCTGGTGGCTAATGATGCATATATATAGACATAAATGTTATTTGTTATATGTTTTTGTGTTGATATTATGAAAAATCGATATTTTCTTTCAAATATTAAGCAATCAGGCTCAACAGTTAACCTAAAACAGTTTTGGCTTTCGTCCAATTTTCAAACTGTTTATGATATTTTTGTTCCAAAGGATTTCAGGCCTTTTGTTCTTTTAGGGTAAATTTGTAATGCTATTATATTTCTTCTCACATATTTATCTTTAAAAGTTTTACTTGTTTCTATATGTTGTTGGAAAAAAACACAATGGTAGTAATAGTTGATTACTTAAAATTTAATATAAAATAACAGAAAATAGAATACTTAAACCTGAGACTGTTACTGCAGGGTAGAATTTATAAGTCTGTCTGTTGTTCAGTTATGTTATCATTTTTTTTATATTTGAACCTTAGTCTCTGTCAATTTTTACTATTCACTTAAGTTGATTTTTAAGACATTTTTATTAATAATTTTTAGAAATAGGTTTTCCTTTGTCCATTTGTGGTTGTTTTTAAAAGATTCCTTCTTGGATAGAGTATACATGCAATAGTAAATATTATCTGGGATTTAGATCAATAAAAAAAAAATAATATATGAAAGTATTATTGTGGATAGAGCTATGCTTATATAGATTACTAGCTGCTGCCCGCAACTACGTCTGCGTAGAGGGGTGAAAATTTAGGGTTGTATGTATTTTTGTATGTTGTATCATAAAAAAATAGAAATTAAAAATTTTGTCTAAAAAAATAAAAAAGAAATTAGGGGTGGACTACCCCTAACATTTAGGGGGATGAAAAATAGATGTTGGCCGATTCTCATAGATACCGGATAAGCACAAAAAATTTCACCCAAATCGGTCAAGCCATTTCGGAGGAGTATGGCAACGAAAACAGTGACACGAGAATTTTATATATTAGATATCTTTCACGAAATACTATTTAATAATAATATTTTTAATACCAACTGCAACATTACCAGATAACCTATGTAATGTTTTAATCATTTTAGGAGAAAACACAAACATCCCCCCCTACAAGACGCACCAAAAAAAACAAAGAAAGACGATCGGTCAAAGAAAGATGACAAGAATGTTGAACAGTTCATGAAATCACTCAACTCTGTACCTTCATTTGAAGAAAAGCTGTCTATTGTCTCCAAGAAATATGTGCAGATGATGGAAGATAATAAGAGATTACAATTCTACATAAAGCAGTCGGAAAAACGTTTTGCTTTGACATTGAAGGAGAAGGAACATTTGCAGCATGAATTCAATAAGACTGTACTTGTCAAATCGAAACTCGAAAATCTTTGCCGTGAGCTACAGAAACAAAATAAGGCTATAAAGGTATTGACATTTTACATATTGATGTTTTATGACAGTTAATAGAAAAAAAAAATTTTATGGTTCCATTTTAATTTAATTGGTACTAGTTTTGCTCCTGGTACTAGTTTTGAGTGAGATATTTGAACATAGGCCTCCCCCATAGACTGCCAGGAAGTAAGGTTTTGAGCCACCTGCATCCATCGACTTCCCGCACATTTTCACAGGTCGGCACTCCATCTAGTGGGGGGTCGTCCCACACTGCGATGGCCAGTACGAGGCTGCCACTCGAGAACCTTTCTTCCCTAACGGTTATTGCTTTCTACGAGCTATAGGGCCGGCCAGTGGTCTATGGGGGAGGCCTATGTTCAGCAGTGAAATCAAACAGGCTGAAATGATGATGATGATGATGATGAGATGTTTGAAGTTGTGTTTTTTTTTAATAAAAATTAGCGACCCACCCCAGCTTTGCACGTCTATCATTTAAAAATATTGTCATTGAATAGTATTCAACATCACAATTACCCACTGTGTTTACACTTTTTCAGGAAGAGTCACTTCTTAAGATACGAGAGGAGGAGGAGCGGTGTAAGGAAACTCAGGCTAAATTTCAGTCCACCCTGTCAGAGATCACTAATCTGCTGCAGCAAAACAATGAAAAGAATGCCAAACTCCGTGATGATAATATCAGCATGACTGAAAAATTTAAGAGTGTTATGCAGCAGTATCAACTAAGGGAACAACAGGTACTTAAACACAGATTATACAGCGTGTCGTTACCATCGCGACAATAAATGAACACACGTCTATCGCTACTTGCCAATAATCATAAAAAAATATTAATGTTAAACAAAATCCATAATTAAAAAAAAATATTTTTCAAACAAACTAATTAAGTAAAAAAGAAACAAAATTTGTAACATCCTATACAACTCGCGCACAGCGTCGTATTACAAGCCTCTCCTTCTAACAGTATGTTTTGTCTCTTTTAAGTTCATTCAACCCATTCATATGCTTTGTGACCTTTACAAATGAACTTTATGTTACGCTTTTATAGGTAAGGATGTTCTAAAATTCTTTTTTTTAAAGAATTTTTAAATTTAATAACTCTGTAAATATTGATGTTTAAAGAATTTAAATGTTTAATACAACTTTAAAAAGTTATCCCCTATATGCGTGTTCATTTATTGTCGCGATGGTAGCGACACGCTGTATAAAAACTTATATGTTTACCATAATTCACTTGATGTGTTCTTTGTATAAGGTAGCACTAATTCAGTACTAATTTATGACACATTTTGTAATGAGATAAAATGAATATCTGAGATTGATGATTGGATAAGACATCAATGTTAATCATAATGTGAGAAGTAAACAGCTTATGGATTCTGTTTTCTGTATTCCAAAAATAGTCTTTATATTATAATGAGCAAATAGTTGTATACCTAGGGACAGAGATTCTGTTTGTTGTCTGCACCAAAAATAGTCCTTAGTTGTATACCTACTCATGATTTTTTTGTGATAAAACCACCTACATTATCCAGCTCATAGGAAGTTAGTCTCTGTTACTAATATAATATTGAAATGTTCTTTTAAATAGTTTATAATATATCTTTATTTCCTTTTTCCTTCAGGTCGATAAAATGGCCAAACAAATGGCTTTAGAGTCAGAATTATCAGAGGCAAAGCTACAGAAAGCATCCTTAGAGCATCAAGCTGAAAAGGAGAGATTAATAGCTGAGATGGAGCAAGTTAAAGTTACCTTAGCCCAGTACCGTGCCAAATTAATGGAAATGCAGACCAATGAGACCTCTTTGAAGGGTCAATTGGCAGTTTATACAGATAAATATGATGAGTTTCAGACTGCTTTAGTGAAGAGTAATCAAGTGTTTGGTGGATTCAAAGAGCAAATGGAGAAGGTATAATTTTTTTTTTCCGTTTGGTTACCATTAAATAAAGAATAATGTGTTAGGCTAAAGCTTGAATATTGCGATGACGTTTATATAGGGGAAGTGGAAGGAAGGACATGTTGTACCAACCTCACCTCGAAAGGGAACAAGGGAAAGAAAATTAAGTAGTCCAATTTTGTTTTAGGGGTATCCCCTAACCATGTGCAAAAGCAAGATATTTATTATAATCATTTGCTTAATCGCTTTCTTAAGTAATAAAATTACAATCTGGTTTTGGTGAAGTTCCATGAACACATTCTTTTTGGAGAAGAGTCAATTGCAAAAGACACCTGCAATCAATTGATGCAGCAACACTGATTTGAATGCCAACCACCCCTGAGTACCTGTTTTTCTGACACAATTTATGCTCACCCACGATCGTGAAATGAAACATTTGTGATTCACTTTCATATTTAGATAGTAACAAGGTGGCACGCAAAATCTTAATTTATCATGTTTCACTAAATACTCATTCAAGTTAGTTAAATTAGTTCTCTGGGCACAAAGTTATAGCATATAAGAAATCATAGAAGTGGAAAAGGGAAAAGCCTTTTTTTTATTGTAGTTTCTAAAAAATATTCCCCTCAAAAGTATGATGTTTAACAATATATAACAGGATATCTCCTAAGTCAGATACACCTATGTCTCTGTTTTATTGAGTTAATTTTATTTATCCATTGTAGATGTCGAAGAAGATCCAGAAGTTGGAAAAGGAGTCGCTGTCATGGAAGAAGAGGTGGGAGACCTCTCAGACAGCGTTGCTGGACATGTGTGGGGAGAGGCAGGCCACTGAGGAGAGAGCGTCCGCCACCAACAGACAGCTGCATCACATGCAGAGCCTGTGTCGCACTCTTCAAGTAAGTTTTGTAATATTCTTATGGATTTTTTTTATTCATAGTGGACATTGTCCTTAAAATTCATCGCTTGGGTAGTGGAAAGAAAAACCTGACTTATGTTATCTCTGCCCATTCATGTAACAGCCAAAGCTGCTGCGTGACCCTACCGCAGAGAATTGCTAAGCAATTTCCTAATATATGAACATGTTGAATTTTGTTATTCAATAAGTATCATTAAGTATGTGTTGTTGTGATGTGGAAGTTCTTACATCATTTAGATGTAAGAACTGATGAACTGACGAATTGATGTATGTATGTCTATCGACCTGAATCTGGATTGAGCAAGCTGGTTTTCTTAATAAGTAAAAATTTATAGTTTAAAGTCGAGACAATAGAAAAAAAGAACAAGGTAATCCTACAATTGTAATCCTCCTAGTTTTCAGTAATAGGAATGAGTGCAATTCCAGGCGGAGAGAACGTTGCTGCTGAACACCCTGAAGGAGCACAACATCGAGCGGCCCCCGCTGCCCGCCCCCGCGCCCGCGCCCGCTCCGCCCGCGCCCGCCTCCGCCTCCGCCTCCGCGCCCGCCTCTAACGCCAAGGTTCCATAAGCAACAGCCAATGGATTACTTGCCTTATACAAGCTTAGAACGAGACCAGTGAAATTTTGTATTTCAGTATTTGAGTAATTTTTGTACTTTAGACTGAAAATACGAGAACCTTTTTTCCGTATTTATTTGACGGTTGACTTGTAGAGAACACCTGAAAAAGTTAAGTAAATGTTAAAAAACTAAAAAAACTAAGTATATTCAAAAACTGATGAAACGAACAACTTTACAGTATACCCATACTCTTAAATTAAATTTTACAATTAATATTTGAACAAGAGGTATGTAATGTCGTTTGATTTAGAATTGTATGATTATTTTTTTATTTTTAGTCTGTACTGAAGTTGCAATTTAAATGTAAGTTTATTTAGCTCAGTCAGACCCTCTGGGTTAGGTTGGATTATTGTGAGCTACCCATAATAATATGTAGGTTCGAATCCTGCCAGCGTCGAAAATACTTTCAATTCACTTTCTGTTTTATTTAAATTGGTATTCAAATCGGCTAACGTTAATTTTTTTCTGCTCAGGTTGATGCAATGGCGGCCAACTGCGCGCAGCTGAGACAGAGCCTGGCTCACCTCCAAACCCAACTGAACGTCCTGACCAACAAGAACGGCGCCAAAGAAGAGACCGCCCCAAAGGAGGAGGTGAAGCAGAAGAAAACCAAGACGAAGAAGAGCAAAGCGGAGAAGCAGGCGCAGAAGATTGCCGCGGAGAAGAGCGAACAGCCAAAAGAGCTTGAGAGTGACGGTTCCAGTGCTGCAAAGGAAATCACAGACGAAACCGAACCTAGTGTCACTGAAAATACGGTTGAAAATGTTATCACTGTGACCGCAGATAAGGAAATTGAGAATCTCGTAGAAGCAGTAAACAGCACAGACTTGAACGCCCCAGATTTAGAAGTGGTCAACGGTGAAGTAAGCAACGACAAGGAACCGTTACCCAGTATTAATGATAACGATGAAAAGGAGGATACAAATTCGACGGTAGAGAACGAGGTGAAAGCCGATGAAGGATCTAGCCACAAAGAAGTGCTACAAAAGGACGATAGTATATCAGAGGCGGATTCGTGCGAAGAGATCGCCCAAATGGAGGAGTTCAAGCCCATACCGAACGTCAAGGCCTAAATGCAGTCCGTCTATATTGTACATAGTTTTTGTAACGAGTTTTCTACGTTTTCTATGGAGACAGTGTCGTGATTTGTGTGTTCCTACGGCCTACGGTGGCTGTTTGTGCCGATTTTGATAAAACTGAGTGCCGGAGACAGCTTTTGCTGCTCACAGCCTCCGGAGATCAACGCGGATTATGAAATTAAAGAAATGATGGATCAATACATTTTTGTTTTATCTTTTTATTAAACAACAACTTAAGAACAGGAGTGTTATAAGTTTGACGTGTCTGTCTGTGTATATGTGTGTCTGTGGCATGGTAGCTTCTAAACGAATGGACTTAGGTGCCATTTTTAACCGACTTAAAAAAAGAAGGAGGTTTCTCAATTCGATCGTATATATATTTTTTATGTGGATTCGCGTATAACCTCGTTTATGAACCGATTTTAATGATTCTTTTTTGTTGAAAAGGAGACATCCCAAGGGTGGTACAATGATAAGGAAAGGCTCTTATGATGAGAGAAATCGAGGGCAATCCTCAAATGTTATAGGTTTTAACAATGTTTTTTAGTCTCCGGTTTGAAGTCACTTTTTTGTTAAAAATTATTATTAAAGTAAAACTACTTTAGGCGCGACCAAGGGGTAACTGAATGCTTTGGTCGACGACAATCGACGACGCAACGGAAACGCGATGACGCCTTTATATAGCCTCCAATTTTTAAATAATCTAAGTATGTATGTATGTATGTAGTTACAAAAAAAGAGGTGATTTTCGCGATCATTGAATTCGAGACCTTGAATATCTAAGGACGCCTTCACATATCTTTTTAGGCTAGAGACAACATTAAGAATGCCAAAATATAGGTTCTTCAAACATTTAGCTTATTCAGTTTCATTCCGAGGTTGATTCTTTGTTTGGACTGACTATTGCAGGTGCGATGTAAGCGAAATATGTTCTAACAAATGAAAATTGCATTTAAGTTTCATTGAAGTTACATTTCATTCTTTACCAATATAGATTACTAAATTAATACTGGCATTAAAATAGCTTGCCACTAATACAGTTTTCGAGGGGTAGAACTTTGCAGATTAAAAAAGGCCAAGCGAATACTGCATCTTAACTCTAGGTTAATTTCTATTTCCTAATATTTTATGCTCCTCAAGATTCAGTATGATTCTCAATTATTTGTACATATAATTCACTTTGTTGACCATGCATAGAACAGAATATGTCTGTTATTACATGTCTTATTGTGGCTGGTACAGCGGTTCTTCCACGTATATATTTGATGAACGACCCGAATGGCGTAGTGGGTCAGAGGGTGTGGGGCCGTTTTCATACATTATGGTACGGAAACCTTCGTGCGCGAATCCGACTCGCACTTGGCCTTTTTTAGTTAGGGAAAGGCACATTCATCATGTTTTTATTCATCGAGGGCATGCAAATTGTGTTCAATACATTTATCTGATACTATTTCAGCTCTATAATTAGTTTCTCCCATGGGTTTCTGAAGAAAGGATTAATTTGTTATATTCAAAATAAATCGTTTTACCTCTGTTTACATATTATTATATATTTCTTTATCGATTTTTATCATGTTAAAAATAATCAGGCCTAAAACACTTCCTTGAGGAACACCATAATTAATGTGGTTTTGTTTATGGCGAAAAAGGGCAACCGAGCAGGAGGCTCACCTGATGGTAAGTGACTACCGCCGCCCATGGATATCTGTAACACCAGAGGGCTTACAAATGCGTTGCCGGCCTTTTAGCAAAGAGTATGCCCTCTTCCTGAAGGGTCCCAGGTCGTAACGGTTCGGAAAGACCGCCGGCGGCAGCTGGTTCCACAGAGTGGTTATGCGAGGCAGGAAATGCTGTAAACTGTTTTATTGAGCTAGTATTTTTATCAACTTTTACTATTTGTACTCTATTTTGCAAATAAGTAAGTAAGTAATAACTATTTTGACACGATTCTTGTAAGGTCATTTGCTTCCAATTTCTTCAATATGATTTCGTTCAAAGCGATATTGAACGGATTTCGTACGTTTATAATAGTAACTACTCAGTTCAGCTATCGTGTCATTTGTGCTAGATCCGTGACGAAAATTAACATTTTTATGTGAGAAGTTGGCAAGCGAGCTGGATGGCGGTTCACATGACGTTAAGTGATAAACTCAAATAACAATTGAAAAGCCGTTTGACAGCTGATTAGTTGATTTTTACGATGATCAGTGTTCCAGAAACCGTGCGTTAAAGTTACATTTACATCCATTACAGTTGATGATTTAACAAGTATACGCATTACATGTCGCCAAGCGTTGCTAAATATGCAATTAATTAGATAGGTGTTGAAATTTTCGAGTCGTTAGGAAATCGGCTGCTAATATAGTTGGTAAAGCGACTCTACGAGTAATCCGGAAAACGTAGGATCGAAACCGCTCCGATTTTTATCTCGTCTACAAAAGTTGACATTTAAAGTTACATCTTGAGTTCAAAGACTAGCGCTAAAAATGAAAATTAATCACCAGTCAGCTCATAACATTTCGTTGGTGTTTTTGTAACTTTTCAAGCTTGAGGACCTAAAGCATGCTTTATTTTATGACTTAACGAAATTATTTAACTGGCGAAATCTAATTAAAGCCCAAACAAAGTCTGGATTTTTAACTAGCCTTCCATAGAATCGGTAGAATGATTACATAAATACGGTAATGAGATGATGAAGTGCTTAGAGAGACCTGAATTTTCTTTGTTGGTTTCTTTTTATTTATTTTATTCAGCGGAGACGCAATAAATTGCACGATGCACTTCTCGCTGGGGCCATGAAAGGAGTGTTAGTGTAAAATGTATTAAATTTATCATCTGCTTCATTTATATTTTGTTGATTCGATTCCGGCCCTGAACATAATATTTCATCGTTCACATGTATCTATCATATATCATATATCTGCGATCGGAAGTGTTTTTATGTGCATTTAATTTTTAAAAGCCCTAATTAAACATTTTTATACAAAGGGGAATTATTTAAAAATATATATAATATGTACTTGCGTAAAATAAGTGCAGACGAATGAAATTAACCTTAGATATTAAATTTGTAACGTATTTCTTATAATATTTTCTAGGGTTATGAAGTTCGCGCATGCTATGTGATCGTAGGTTCGAATCTATGTAGTGTGCGTCCATTTAGTTCTAGTTTTAGACTCACAGCATACTAACGATTGGATGTTAATTGTTAGCTTGATGAAACGCATGAAACTAACTATTTATTCCATCGACTAAACGCCTTATATCACAGAACACTAATACTCTCACGAATGCCTTAGATAAACTTTTTAATGTAAATGGCTTAAACGTGTACTGTTGCTATATATGCCATGTACTTTTTTTTTAAATGTTATTGAAGTATCGTACAGTATATATGTAGGGTCACAATTAATGACGTCGCCCATACAATTTGATTTGTTTTAAACGAATCGGAAGGGCAACGAATCCTTACCCTGCCAATTTAATGGCCACAATTCTTGCACTTAAATCATGTTATTTAATCCGACAGGCGTAGAGCGCGCCGAAACATTCTTTTTTTTTAGTCTAGATTTAGAAAAATTAGACAGGCCTTGTTGCACGCAATGACAAACTAGGAAATGTTTTCAATTTCATTTTACAATACAACAAAAATAAGCAACCCTTTACGTAACGCGGACTATCCGATTAGAGAGTGGCTACAAAATAAGATTAAATTAGTTTTTATTGAGGTATCATTTATTTCTGTTTTAAGTAAGTAGGAAAATCTGCAATAAGTTTCCACATGCGAAAACAAAGATGTTATTGTGGGTAGGATCACGCAACAGTAAACAAAGATGTTATTGTGGGTAGGATCACGCAACAGTGAACTGTTGCGTGATCCTACCTATACCTACCTACCTACCTTGCAATGGGCAGGTCCGTCAGGGTAAGTAACACGACCTCACAGAAGACCGGCGTAAAGTAGAAGTGTTACACTTCTGCGTTTCGTCTGTGAGTTAGGTAGCTGGAGCCCATCCTATTTGAACATGGCAACGCATTTCCAACCCTACGGGTGTTGCAAAAGTCCATGGGCGGCGGTTATCACTTAACATCAGGGCAGTTATCGTTTATCACATAAAAAAAAATGTGTCAGACCCGTTGTACATCTCCAACTATCTCATACTTCTAATACATAATTCTGAATGGGGAGTTATGGCGGTATTTCGTTCGCGGAAGTGTTTCGCAAACTGCGACGGTGCTCTGTTGGCCAATGTGATCAGGCGCTGGTTGCGAACGGACATCGTCCACGGTGGCCTGCGCCGCAATCGGCGGTAGGTGAAGGTGCCGATGAGCCCACAGCTGGGAGAGCGTGGCCGAAAGGTCGCAGCAAAGCAGTAACTTATAGACGGACTATCATTTAGGATCAAACGGCATAACTTAAAGTGGTACAATTATAAGATGGCAATCTTTTTTTAACATTCACTTTTTTTCCAACTTTCAAATCCGCTAATACGTGAAGGTTTTAATTTAATTTCTTTTATTATTGAGTCAATAACAATAATTTTTGACTTTCTAATTTCAATGGATATAAGTCTGCATTTGTGAAATAAATTTCTTAAGCATATCACATTTACTCATTTATCGTCGCATAAGGCTGGCGTGGCCGAAGGAAGTAAGAGACTTTCTTTATTCATTTTGTCTCTATCAGACATTCCTCTTAGTCTGTTTTCGCCAATTAAATGTTGATTTACGGCTGAGGGACTTTTTCACGCAGTCCGCAAATATTTCTTTGGTCATCGTCTCCCATTGTATATATTTCTATTTATCTTTTTGAAAATTAATGACCTTTTATTGCGTCACGGCAGAAAACTTAATTATCGGTCACAACTGTATCATGGATAGAGAGAGAGTCAATTTAGAGAAGACTTGGATCTGGGAGGTGTCCCGATCCCCTTCAGGTATTAGATCCGCAGCGTTGATGATCATGGTACAGAATTTAATGGAAAGTAATT